TTGAGGCGCCTAAAATATCGTCTCAGTTCACGCAGTTTTGAGGCGCCTCAAAAATCGATGCAGTCGCATCCACCCAACTCGCAGCATGCACTGCGTGGTGCTGCCACTGCCAGACGCACCTGCCTCCCTCGCCGCTGCCTGCGAAATCCGGTTCGCTGTCTCTTCTCGTTCTTCATTTCTTTTCTCTTGTCATTTCTCCGCCATCCCAGCTTCCACCCAACGTGCAGTGTGCACCGGGTGCTGCTGCCTCTGCTGGACGCCGCTGCTTCCCTCGCCACTGCCTGCGAAATCCACTTCACCGTCAGCTATGGCTCCTCCAATCCAAGGCCAGACACGGGACCTGCTGTAGGTGCGCCTGCCGAACCTGCTGTCGTGCCTGCCAATTCCCTTCCTGCAACTGCTGCTTTGGGCCGGGTGCCTAGTCGGAGGGAGAACTGGGCTGGGAATGAGGAGAACGGAGAGGAGGAATTGGGGACCACCGGAACGAGAAGCTTGGATGAGGGGATGAGAGGAAATGGTGATGGACAGGGTGGTTTGAGTGGGGCCGTTGATGAAGATGGACGGTTGAGATGGAGCGGTGGGAGTGATGCAGGTGTAGGGGTAGAGAGAGAAGACTACGACAGTGGAATGGATGATGATGCGGTTTATGAGGCTATGTTGGAGAAATATGTGGCGACTAGCAGGTCTGAAGTAGGTTCCTCTGCAGGAGGTGAAGGACTAGAACGCGGGCGTTTGTTGGTTGCAGCAGCAGAAGGATTTGAAAGAAGCAGTGGCGTGGGGGAGGAGAGGGAGCAGCAGGGGCGGGGGCATGCGGGGGGAGAGGAGGAGGAGGAGTCGTGGGAGGTGTTGGGGCATGAGAGTGACATAAGGCGGCTGTTGCAGGGGGTTTTGGATGCTGCACTGCATGCCACAGAGGGCGGGGGGTGGGTGCACGTGCACTGGCAGAGGGCGCCAGGGGGAGGAGTGCTGCTGTTGGTGGAAGACAGTGGCGTGGGCGTGCACTACCTGGTGAGTTGAGGGGTTTGGGTATGGGGGTTGGGGTCTAGGTTGCAATCTGAGGGCGGGTGGGTGCACGTGCACTGGCAGAGAGCGCCGGGGGGAGGGGTGCTGCTGCTGGTGGAAGAAAGTGGTGTGGGCGTGCACTACCTGGTGAGTGCAGGATTTTGGGGGTTTTGAAATCTGAGGTTTGGGGTTTAGGAATCAGAGATCAGGCGGTGGGACTGTTTGGAAGCATGTGCACTGGCGAGTATACCAAATAGTATCCACCTCGTTTGAGGCTCATCAAAGCCCCACCTTACTGGTTTCTCCGCATCCTTCCCCCCCAACCACCCCCCTCCAGTCTGCCAGTCCGGCCTCCTCCACTCAAAACCTGCCACCTGGCAAGCTGGCACGGGCTGCTGACGCCTTAGCAGCAATGGAGGTGGTGAGGGGTGTGGCAGAGGCGGTGGGGGCAGTGATGCGTGTGCAGTCGCCTCATCTCATCAATGCTCCAAGTGGGTACGGCGGGACAAGGGTGGAGATCTGGTTACCACCTGCCCCTGTGTCGATGCAGCAGTAGCAGCTGTATGAGCAGCAGCAGCAGCAGAGATCTGGTTACCGCCTGCACCTGTGTCGATGCAGCACTAGTAGCACCAGCACCAGTAGCAGACACAGTAGGTGCAGCAGCACTGGGGAGTGGCAGACGCGGTGGGGGCAATGATGCGCGTGCAATCGCCACACCTCATCAATGCCCCCTGTGGTTACAGCGGGACATGGGTGGAGCTCTGGATACCACCTGCCCTTCCCTCAGTGCAGTGAGGTTTTCGAGCTGAATGAACAGCCATCTCATGCTGTGAGCGAGGTCTCTGGCTACCACTTGCCCCTGTGTTGAAGCAGCAGCAGCAGTAGCAGATGTAAGTATCTGGTTACTGCCTGCCTCTCCCACAGTGCAGTGGGGTTACTGAGTCGACTGAACAGCCTGTCTTATGCTGTGAGCAATCGTTGCTCGCCAAGAGATTTGGCTCTGTGGCGCTTAAGTCGTGCAAGTGGTGCAAGTGGTGCAAGTGGTGCAAGTGGTGCAAGTGGTGCAAGTGGTGCAAGTCGTGCAAGTCGTGCAAGTCGTGCAAGTCTTGCAAGTCGTGCAAGTGGTGCAAGTGGTGCAAGTGGTGCAAGTGGTGCAAGTGGTGCAAGTGGTGCAAGTCGTGCAAGTGGAGTGGCTCCTCTTCTCTGTGCTGTGCTGCCTATCTAGCGGTATTTGCCAGCACAGAAGTGCTGCGGCCGGCTGATCTGCACCCGTGGTGTGCGTCTGCTCTCACGGTAACTGGTGTGCTCGCTTTCTGCAAGTGGAGGCTCGTGCTCTGTACAGTATAATTAAGTTAGGTTCTGCACGGATGGTTACAGGGATGTAATGCTTATACATACTTGGATTTTTTTGTCTGCTGCAGTCCATCTTAGATTCAAGACTTCAAGCCGTGCACTCGACATCCACCACCAGATGGAGATTTCCCTTTGCTAGATGTTATCACACAGAGTTGAAATAAAATCCATCTGGTAAATGATCGTTGCGCTCACGCAAACGAAAGCTAGATCGCCATTACAGGGTACGGACCTCGACTGGCGCGAGATTGAGAAGAAACGCCTGCAAGATACCCACTGCATTTTGCAGCAAAACAAGAGGCACACTTCATCCCGTTTTTAGGCTTATCCAAAGTTATTTGTCAAGAGTTCTGTACAAAAACAATTACAGGCGAAGCATTCTACATCAACCGCTAAACTGTGTAACATATCTTTTGTAGCACGATCAGATGCTCTATCGCAGACACCCATCTGCTTTCGCTGACCGACATTCACTCGCGACACCGCCGATCATTGCCAGTGCGAAATCAAGCCCAGAGGGTGAGACCTTCGCGACATCGTGAGACTTACCATTAGCGAGGCGACCATGGTCTCACCTTCCCGACATCCTGACACCTTCGTCACATCGCCACCACCATCAGCCCATCACTGTTTTGTTGGCTTGTATCACACCACTCGCGCTGTTACCCTAGGCCTCGCGGTGGTCTCCCGCCGCCGAAATCATCCTGTCACAGTGGCGCCGAAATCGCGAGCGCGTTTCGTCGCACCGCGCTCGCCATTGCTGAGGGCCGAGGACTTGCAACACCGCAACTGTGGCATCGCGAATCACCACACCAAGTAACCCTGTACCATTCCACCCAACCTTGCCTCTACAAATTCCTCTTCAGAAAATTGATTTTCACCAGTCTCTCTCACTCAACCTCAATTTCTCAGCAGAAAATTCGCACTTCACATCACCAGACTTGCACCTGATTTCCATTGCACTCTCCACTTCGCATAAACCCGTTTTTTCCTCAGGAAAAAATATTATTAACAGCATAATGGCCACCTCTCGCGTGCTCGCCGTGCTCGGGGTCATCTGCGTCGCCCTCTGCGTGGCTGGCGCGAGGGCTCAAGCAACGCCGCCGAAGCCCACCAAGGCGCAGCTCAAGGCGGAGCTGAACAACATGGCGACGAACATCACGAAGCGTTACCCGCAATACGCGAAATACGCCAAGGATATCAACCGTTACATCGGCCTCGCGCTCAACTCCAAATACGACTTCTCAGCCCTCGCGGACGCCACAATCCTCCTCCCCAGCGACACAGAAGCCCAAGCCCTCGCTAAGAAGCTCCCCGTTACAAGCAGCAACATCCCCATCATCTACAACATCACCGCATACCACATCCTCCCGCGGAAGCAAACCGTTCCTCAGCTGAACTCCCTTAAAAAGTCGCAGCCGCTGGCGACTCAACTGAAGCAAGCGATCTACAAGGTTTCGCCACAGAATGGTAACTCCGTGTCATTCGCCAAGGGGCCGAACGCGCCTGCTGCCGCGTGGACGACCATCCAAATCGCGCGGCTGTACGCTGGGCCATACTTCATCGCGCATGGCGTGGATAAGATTCTCATCCCCGCTGGCACGACCGTGCCCAAGTAGACTTCAGATCGAGTGCGACTACAGTGCATTGCGCTTTATGGCTATCTTAGGGCTAGGAACAGGTTCTTCTGTTAGGAGTAATTTATCCCCAGTTGACGCTCAGTGACTGTCTGTTCACCTCGGAGCACATGCCACTGACCGTCAACTGGCGATAGTGTAATGCCTTTTTGTGTATGAGTAATTGCGCTGCTTTCGACTGCACTTCACCTTCTAACAACCATCAGAGAGCTGAGGATATGTGTTATGTTGGTTGACAGTTGGTGTTTTTTCAACCTTCATTGAACAGATGGCACTGACAGGTGTTTAAGAAAGCTTTCATGGTTGCTGTACAAACTAAATGTGCGCACAATAATGGACACCAAAATCTGGTCAACAAGCTAAGGTTGACTGCAAGCAACATCCAAAACTAACAATGCTTCCACCAGCGAAACCCAACCAGAGGTGATGTTTTGGGGTTTAGGTGATGTTTTCCCCAAGACGCATTCACGGCTGCACTTTCTGCCATCTGCCAGAAGGGCCGCAATTCCCCCTCACAGCAACATCAACAGCTGATTTTCTTCATCAGCATCTGCTTGTTTTGCTCACAACACACAAAAATACGCCGATCAAGGGCAGTCAGCACAGCACAGACTGCCCTTCAGCTCACCACTCATGAGAATTCTCAAAACTGGCCTTGACCTCACCCACCCCCAACGCCACGACCACCAGCGAGTCCACCAGCAGCAGCTGAATCTTGTGGGTCGGCTCCCCATCTCAGCCTCAACTGGTTTTCTGAAATCAGCTGCTGTAGTTTCCCCTTCAATGCGCAATCCACCGCCAACAGGAGCAATCAACCTGACGGCATAAACCATTCCCGCCACAGCTGCAGCTGGCAATTGGAAGTACAACACAGCTGCAGCTTCCCCTACAATGCGAGTCATCAGCAGCAGCAGCAATCCCCCTGAATCATCTCAAGTGCAACCCCCCCTGACTGCTAATCAGCTTAGCAGCTGATGGGTCGCATTAGCACAAGACCGAAATCAGCAGCTAATGCGACCCACCACCACCAGCAGCTATCCCCCTGACAGCATAAACCGTCCCCGTTACAGCCGCCGCTGTCCCTCCCAGGAGAATCGCCACGTGGCACGCAACCGACGCACGCGACAGCTGGCGCCACTTAATGCTGAGGTGGCAGGCCGTGGGGAGGAGCAAAGAGATGGAGATGCTGAGGAGAGAGCCTGTGAGTGTCATGACCAGGGCGAAGAATGGAAGCAGTAACCCCGCCGCTGCCACCAGCACCACCAGTAGAGTCCTCACAGTTAGGGAAACAACTGTCTTGCTGCTGACCCTCACCCAGTTAAAGCCCGGGAGAGATGAGAGCCAGGAGAGACAGAGCGCGGTGTGCTTGCAGTTGCAGCTGCAGCCTCTGTGCTTGAAGCGGGGCACGCAGTAAGGGGTACAGGAGGCGAGGCTGGGAGGGGAGAGGTTGGAGAGGAGGGAGGAGAGGGAGGATTCGAGGGCGAGCGCGACGGGGGTGATGGTGATGGCGAATTTGGTGAGGGGAGAGATGATGGTGGTCCATAGGACTATGCGGGATGGTGTGAGGGCGGGCGGCAGGTTGAGGGTAATCTGGGCGGCAGTGGCTTGTCCGTACATGGAATAGCCGAGAATGGCAATGCCGCCGTATATGCATGTGCAGACAGTGAAGCAGATGAGGAGCACCTGGCGGGGGGAGGCGAGGGGAGGGGAGGAGGAGGAACCGAGGGTGGCATAGAGCGGCTGGGCTTTTGAGGCGCCTAAAAAATAGAGCAACTATGCTCGCGTTACAGGAAAGGAGTTGAACATGCAAGTGCCATAGCAGACTCACATCCTCTACCCACTCACCCGGTTGAGGTGCTGGAGCTTGTCCATGGAGTGGTAGACGGTGGGGAAGACAGCATGTCCCGAGAAACAGACATCAACACAAGGGGTTACAACACTTGTACCGCGTACGAAGTGCGGCATCAACCCCTTACCCAGTTGAAGTGCTGTGGCTTGTCCATGGAGCGGTAGATGGTGGGGAACACAGCATGGCCCGACAAGCAGAACCCAAAACAGGGGGTTACAGAACCTGTAATACGCACAAGTGCCGCACCAGTATCGATACACACTCGCCCACTCACCCGGTTATAGTGCTGGGGCTTGTCCATGGAGCGGTAGATGGTGGGGAACACAGCATGCCCCGACTCAATGCACTACTCTTTACTCTCTGACTCCCTCACTCGCCCACTCACCCAGTTATAGTGCTGTGGCTTGTCCATGGAGCGGTAGATGGTGGGGAAGACAGCATGTCCCGAGAAGCAGACATCAACACAAGGGGTTACAACACTTGTACCGCGTACGAAGTGCGGCATCAACCCCTTACCCAGTTGAAGTGCTGGGGCTTGTCCATGGAGCGGTAGATGGTGGGGAAGACAGCATGGCCTGACAAGCAGAACCCAAAACAGGGGGTTACAGAACCTGTAATACGCACAAGTGCCGCACCAGTCTCGATACAAACTCACTCACTCACCCGGTGCTGTGGCTTGTCCATGGAGCGGTAGATGGTGGGGAACACAGCATGCCCCGACTCAATGCACCACTCTTTACTCTCTGCCTCACTCACTCGCCCACTCACCCGGTTGTAGTGCTGTGGCTTGTCCATGGAGCGGTAGATGGTGGGGAAGACTGCATGCCCTGAGAAGCAGAACCCAAATATCCCCATCGCCACTGGTATTCCCTGCACCCGCAGCAACGCCGATTCCCCTTGCACTGCTGCTGCTGCTGCTGCGGCGGTTGAAGAAGCAGAAGCAGCAGCAGAGCCTGCATCGTCCGCCCCCATCGCCGCCACCCACGCCACTCCCACCACCGTGACCAGCGCTGCGAGCAGCCCTCCCACGGACACATACGCGAGCAAAGACATCTTTCGTAACCACACTGTTGGCAGCACGATCAGCGCAGCGATGATCAGAAACACCTGGTTGGGCGACAGGCGGAGGGAGAGGCCCAGGGGGTTTTCAGTAGACACTTAACAAGCCACAAGCCACTCTCACCACCACTGTGACCAGCGCAGCAAGCAGCCCAGACACGGACACATACGCGAGCAGAGACATCTTTCTGAGCCACACTGTGGGCAGCATAATCAGTGCTGCGATGATCAGAAACACCTGGTTGGGCGACAGGCGGAGGGAGGGGCTCAGGGGGAGGCGGTGCGGGGCGAAGGAGGGGAAGAGCAAGGCGAGTTTGAGGAACCGCAAAACGCGAAAATCAGAAACCCACGCGGCCAAGGGGGAGGTCGTTTATTGAGGCGTCTTAAAACGGGACGATCAGAAACACCTGGCGGAGAGGCAGAGCGTGGGGCCGGCCGAGGGGGAGGCCATTCGGGGAGAAGGAGGGGAAGAGGAAGGCGATTTCCTCGCCTAGCTGGGAATCCCTTCATTGATTCGCCTTGGAGAATAGCCACGTGAAGTGAGGGTGTTTTTGAGACGTCTCAAAAACACCCTAACTTCACGGGAGAAGGAGGGGAAGAGGAAGGCGATTTCCTCGCCTAGCGAAGGAGGGGAATCCCTTCATAAATTCGCCTTGGAGAATGGGCAGCTCGATTGGGGCGGCGAAGAGCTCCCTGTAGAGAGGAGGAGAGATGTGAGCACGCCTTTTGAGTTGACTCAAAGCCACCTTGAGCAGCTCGACTGGGGCGACGAATCGCGCAGCGTACAGCACAAGGCACGTGAGCATTTTTTAGAATTCTCAAAAGCGAATAGCGCGGCGTACGTGAGCATGCGGCCAGCGTGGCCGAACAACTTGTAAGGCGCGTCAGAACACTCACCTGGTAGGTGGAGAGGCGGAGCGAGGATCCCAGGGAAGCTTTTGAGTCGACTCAAAAGGAGAGGCGGAGCGAGGATCCCAGGGAAGCTTTTGAGTCGACTCAAAAGGAGAGGCGGAGCGAGGATCCCAGGGAAGCTTTTGAGTCGACTCAAAAGGAGAGGCGGAGCGAGGATCCCAGGGAAGCTTTTGAGTCGACTCAAAAGGAGAGGCGGAGCGAGGATCCCAGGGAAGCTTTTGAGTCGACTCAAAAGGAGAGGCGGAGCGAGGATCCCAGGGAAGCTTCTGAGTCGACTCAAAAGGAGAGGCGGAGCGAGGATCCCAGGGAAGCTTTTGAGTCGACTCAAAAGGAGAGGCGGAGCGAGGATCCCAGGGAAGCTTTTGAGTCGACTCAAAAGAAGAGGCGGAGCGAGGATCCCAGGGAAGCTTTTGAGTCGACTCAAAAGGAGAGGCGGAGCGAGGATCCCAGGGAAGCTTTTGAGTCGACTCAAAAGGAGAGGCGGAGCGAGGATCCCTGGGAAATGCCCCAGGGAGAAGGAGACGAGGGGAAGAGGAAGGCTAGAGAGTCCCCTTCGAGGACGAGAAGCTCCACTGACACTCTAGCCTTCCTCGAAGGGGACACTCTAGCCTTCCTCGAAGGGGACACTCTAGCCTTCCTCGAAGGGGAATCTCTAGCCTTCCTCTTCCCCTAGAGGAGCTCCCCGTAGAGCACCGGAGACGTCAGCATGCCTGTTGAGTCTAGCTCGAGGCGCCTCAAAACACACCTGGTTGGCGGACAGGCGGAGGGAGGGGCCAAGACTGAGGCCGTGCGGGGCGAAGGAGGGGAAGAGGAAGGCGAGGGAGTCGCCTTCGAGGATGAGCAGCTCGACCGACACGGCGAAGAGCTCCCCGTAGAGCACCAGAGATGTAAGTATGCGCCCTGTGCGGCCGAACGCTGCCGCGCCTATGTCGGGGAAGGTGGTGATCGTGGAGGCGTGGAGTGCAGTGGCGGAGGTGTGGGGAGAAGTTGCGGAGGTGTAGGGTGCGGTGGTGGAGGCGTGGCTGCTTGCAGTCGAGGTGTGGATACTTGTATCAGGGGAGTGGGGATCGGTGGATGGTGTGTGGTCCATGCAGGCACGGAGGAGGCGGGCGGTGAGGAGGTAGAGGAGGGACGTGGCGGGCAGAAGGAGCAAGCCTAACCAGCCCGCTTGGGCGAGCGCGTAGGGCGTGGTGAGAATTCCGATGCCTGGTGCAAGGGGAGGAGAGGGGGAAGGGCAAGTGAAGAGAGAGAAGAATGGATGAGGAAGGAAGGGTGACGGTTTCGCTCTCACGCATGCCCTCGGGCTTGGCATGCCGTCAGGGCTAAGCAATACCACGCATGCCCTCGCACACACACACACACACACACACACACACACACACACACACACACACACACACACACACACACACACACACACACACACACACACACACACACACACACACACACACACTCGCCGCCACTTGGGAAGTGCGCTCGCCGGTCGGACCTTCCCCCCTCGTGTCTCACCCGTCAGCACGTTGACTCCGTTGAAAACAGCCTCCAGTGAGCTGCTGCCACGTGGCGGCGACACTTCCGTGGAAACCCGTCGCTTCCCCAGTCTTCCCCCGGTCACCCTTCCCCACCAAGACCTCCCGCCCTCTTCTGCGCCTTGCGCTTCCCCGACATCCGCCGCTGCCAGCTCCCCCTCCGCTGCTCCACTTGCTCTTCCCTCCGCTGCTTCACCTTCCGCTGCTCCCCCGCCGTCTGCCGTTCCGCCTTGCACCCCCCCCCGCTCCGCGGAGTCACAATCATCTCCCCCCGGTCTGCAACTTGCACTCCCATCGCCATCTGCCTCGCGAGCACCGTCACCCGTCGCACTGCGACAACTTCTGTCGCTACCATCCGCCTTCAAAACATCGTCCGTGTAACCCCCCAGAGAAACAAGCGGACCACAGATGCTCACCGACGGCGCGCGTGCGGCTGCCGACGCGACATCAATGTCCGCACTGCCTCTCAGCAGACCTTCAGCGCGACGAGCGAGTTCGTCGTCTGCAGAACCGTCAGGGCTTTCGGCAGCTTGAGCAAGGGGATTGTTCGCTGAAGTTTCACGCACCAGCACCACGATTTCCGCCGGTCTTTTCACACCGTTCCTCTTCGGTCCAACGGAATCGCGGTTGGTGCACTCAAGAATTTCGCTTTCACGGCAAGTATTAATTTCGCCTTCCCGTTCATGTAGCTGGGCGCTTTCTCGCTCCCTACTCGTTTCTGAACGATACGTGCACTTTTGCTGCTCGCTCCGGTCGATTATGGCAAAAGCTTCTGCAGAATTCTCGAGAAATTGCGCATGCTGCGTGTGGTACGGAGGCGCACCGACAGATTTCGTCGGCGCGGTAGGGCCACGAGTAGTAACTCTAGGAATGGACTTATGGGCTTTCTGCGGAAAGGATATTTCACGCGAGTCGGAATAGTCTGGAGCAATAACGTCGCCTCCCTTTTTCCATCTTTTCGAAGCGTCTTTCCATTGATAGTTGCCCGCTTCCCGCTCAACTTCAAAAGTTCGTCGCACCATAACAGTGGATTTGCAGTGTGTATGGTATTGAACAAAGTGGTCGAGAAATCCACGACGATGAAACGAGAATGGAGGAGGTAGGAAGAGTGAACAGAGGAAACAAGTACAGAAATCAGAATTCGTGACATGCCGCGCCGCGCAGCTGAAATCAAACCTCGCGGTGACGTCGTCGTGCCCACGAAGGCTCGAAAAAGAAATTACGAAATTTCGCCGTGTCGATTGCGAGTACCTTCAGCGTCCACTTCTCGTCGCATGCAAGCCAAACGATGATCGTGATTGTCTGCAGCGAAACGTAACACATCATCTGCGATCGCTGGAGACCTTCACCTCCAATTTCCACCACTAGGAGATGCGGCAACTGCTTGGCGCGTCGCGCGTGGCAGCCGCATTTGGTGCGCTGGCTTGCAGAAACGATGTCCAGCGAAGCAAGAGACTTGACTCGCTGACAGTTATCGAAATTGCTGTTCTGCTGTGCTGGCAGTCACCTTCATGTGATCCACGTGGAAGGGAAACTTGAAGATGGTCACACCAAGATGGGCCACGTCACTACGCGGGAATGCTCTCGAAAGCATTTCCCGCAACAAGACTTAGTAATCGCTGCAAGGATAACTTCATTCTTAACATCTATATCCATCTCACTTTCTCATATCAACATCACCATTTTCGAAGGGAAGTTGAGACAATGCAGCTACCCTTGCGTAGCTGATACACTTTTTTATTCCCAGTAGATCCCATTTAGAACCCAACAATGCAGCCTCCTCTCTTCAGTTCACTCATAAAGCTCGCATAACTTACAACACCCAATGTGCTTTTTGCATCCATAGCAGCATTGCTAACTGTAGCAACGCAAAACTCAATACCCATAACCTTCTGAATCACATTGCCGGGCTCCTGAGAGCTAAGCCCATGACAACGCTACACTTCCACCTCCTTTACAGTATCCCCCTTAAAAGGCGGCTCCAGTAGCTTCTCATTCACCGCATTCAAATCCACCGTAGCAGCGCTGCTGCGCGCAGCAATCCACGCAACAATATCCGCTATCACCTTTTCGATCACATCGTCAGGCTCCCCAGAAGTGAGTCCGTGCCAGGAGCCCTCGTAGATCTTGAGAGTCTTGTCGGTGCTGCTGGCCGCTGCGTGCAGCTCCTTGGAGAGAGCTGGGTCGGTTACCACGTCAGCACTGCCGTGCAGTATGAAGCACGGGAGGGAGAGCTGCAGGGAGGGGAGAGAGCGAGGGGGTGGGTGGTATGGACGACGGATATGGGTGAAAGATTTGGCATGAGCGTGCTGGGGGAAGGAATGCTGAGCCTGCTGTGGTGCCGTTGCTTTGCTGCCGTGCCATTGCTGCATGCAGCAGTGAAGCACGCCAATATGGCAACAGCCTGCGACCAAGCGTCTGAAAGCTTCAATGATCCCATTCAGTCGATTGGAATACACCATCCAATGATTAGCCACCAAATGAACACTTGCGACTCTAATCCGCTTGTGATTCCAGGAGCTGGAGAGTCATCCTCACACCAAACCCCCTCCATCCTCACACCTTACCTCCTCCATCATCACATTCACCCTCACCTCCTTCATCCGTGGGCCGATCTCCTGTGTGGTCCGCAGCAGTGAAACTGCTGTGCCCACTCGAGCAGGGCCCCTGATGGACATTGGGTTATCCTTCGCCTGGTGGGTGACGCAGCAAGAGAAGGCGAGGAGCAAGGGAAGAGGTTGGGTGGGGGTTAGGTGAATAGCAGGAGCAGAGGAGCAGTGAAACTGCTGTGCCCACTGGAGCAGGGCCCCTGATGGACATTGGGTTATCCTTCGCCTGGTGGAGGTAGGGGGAGCGAGGGGAGAGGAGGAGAGAGGAGGAGGGGAGCTGAAGAGGAGATAGCCAACGGTGCATACTTCACCTTGGGATGTCGATAGCTTCAATTCAAGCTCACCATATGAAGCTCCTCTTTGGTGCGCGACCACGCTCCTCTTGGTCAACAAGGTCTCTCATGCCAGTGTCGCTGGTATCCTTGCCCTGCTGCACCATCTTGACCTCGGGATTACCATTGAAGTGAGCCAGCACCGTTCAAAATTAAGACTCACCATTTGAACTCTTGTGCGGTTGGCAAGGTCTCTCATCCCGATGTCGCTGATGTCCTTCCCTGGAACCATCTTGGCCTTGGGAATGACGTTGCTCAGAGCCAACACCGTGCATACACCTACCCCCTTTCTCTTCCTCCTAACTCACCCGCTTCCGGTTGGCAAGGTCTCTCATGCCAATGTCGCTAATGTCCTTCCCTGGAACCATCTTGACCTTGGGAATGACGCTGCTCAGAGCCAACACCGTGCATACACCTACCCCCTTTCTCTTCCTCCTAACTCACCCGCTTCCGGTTGGCAAGGTCTCTCATGCCAATGTCGCTGATGTCCTTTCCTGGAACCATCTTGACCTTGGGAATGACGCTGTTGAGAGCCAGGAATGCTGATACCACCATTGGGGGAGGCATCAACTCCTCTGCTATCTGGTGACCAGTGGGGGGTGGGGAGTGGCGGGTGGGTGTGGTATGTGGTGAGTATTTGGGAGTGATCATTCACCATCTTGACCTTGGGAATGACGCCGTTGAGAGCCAAGAACGCTGATACCACCATTGGGGGAGGAATCAACTCCTCCGCTATCTGGTCAACATTGAAAGGCGGGGGGAAGGGGGGAGTGGAGGGTGGGCGGGTGTGGTCTGGTGATTATCGCAAAATGATTATTAACCAGCATGACCTTGGGAATGACGCTGCTAAAAGCTAACACCTTTGATTTGAACAATCGGAAACAGGATCTGCTCGTGCTATCTGGCGATCCAAGTGAGGAGAGGGCAGCCTGGGTAGGGGAGTGGTGGTATGTGGTGCTTTTAAGTCGACTCAAAAGCGATCCAAGTGAGGAGAGGGTAGGGGAGTGGTGGTATGTGGTGAGAACTTTGGGGGAGGAGCTGGGTGGTGGGAGAGTAGCAGTGCATGGGGGGTGCTTGTATCGAAGGGTGGACACAAGAGAAGATGATCATTTGTACTGAAGGCCAACACAGGGTGTACGATTGACAGTAAAAGGGTGCTTGCACTCAAAGGCTGATCGCTAGAGAGCCTTTGACAATCGTACTGAATAATGGGAAAGATCACCATGGGCGGCAACCGTGGGCGGCAACCGTGGGCGGCAACCGTAGGCGGCAACCGTTGCGTGGTTACCAAACACTGTTGAAGCAGCAACATCAACTTGCGTATGGCAAATCCCATCATCATAATCATCACCATTCCATGGGTACCACATGGTTACTTCATGGCCACACATGCTTCCCATGTGGTTACCATACAATTATCCCATGGTTACCACGTGGTTACCACATGGTTACCTTGCACATGGGTGACAGTAGGACGGCTCCTCGAAAGGCGTCTGGGCGGCGCCAGTGCGTCTTGATGGCCACTGCGCCGCCCATTGACTCGCCGTACAGGAAGACGGGGAGGGATGAGAGGGCAGGCGAGGCTGCGAGGGAGTGTGTGGGGAATGGAATGCACACAGAGAGGCAGGGAGGTGAAAGGAGAGGTGTGTGAGACAGTGTGTGGTTTAAAGGGCCACGGCACGGCGCCGCCCATTGACTTGCCGTACAGGAAAACCGGGAGGGAGGAGAGGGAAGGTACGGTACCTAAGAAACAACTTGAGTGGATTTTTTCAAGACCCCAACGTATGAGCACACTGTTGCACTCACCTGCACCCATCTCTTAACGCGTCGGTGAATCCAATCCAACCATATCCTTGATGATGGTAGCGAGGGATGTATGCATGCACACCGTGGCAGCACCCACCCGCCTGCATGTACTTGCACTGCTTCACCCACCTGCACTGCACCTACCTGCACCCATCTGCACCCGTCTGCACCCACCTCGTAATGAGTAAGTGAACTCAACCACGTCGTCAATCAATGATGGCATCGAAGCGAGGGATGTATGCATGCAGGCCCTGGGAGCACGTACCCACCTGCATGTGGTCGCACCCATCTGCACCCATCTGCACCCACCTCTTAACGCATCTGTGAATACAACCACGTCGTCGATCAAGGTATCGAAGAGAGGGATGTACGCATGCAGGCCCTGCGAACACCCATGGCCCTTGTTGTCCACTTTTGAGAGTCTCAATCACCAGTCAGGACCTGGGAGCAACTTCTGCTAGAGGCGCCACAATAGCACCCACCTCTGAACGAGTAGGTGAATTTAACCACATTGGTATCAAAGCGGGGGATGTATGCATGCAATCCCAACTGCACTGCACCCGCCTCCACCAATTCGCACCCACCTCTTAGAGCGTCAGTGAATTCAACCACATCATCTATGATGGTATCAAAGCGGGGGATGTATGCATGCAGGCCCTGCGAGCACCCGTCCAACTGCACTGCACCCATCTTCACCCACCTCTTAGCGCGTCGATGAACTCAACCACATCATCTATGATGGTGTCGAAGCGGGGGATGTATGCATGCAGACCCTGTGAGCACCTACCCAACTGCACTGCACCCACCTCCAACCATTTGCACCCACCTCTTAGCGCGTCGGTGAACTCAACCACATCGTCTATGATGGTGTCGAAGCGGGGGATGTATGCATGCAGGCCCTGGGAGCACCCATGGCCCTCGTAGTCCATGCCATACACCAGGTACTGCTGCTGTGCCATGCTCACTGCCACGGCTGGTGGGGTTTTCAGGAGAAGGTAGGGAGAAAAGGGGGAGGGGTGGTGGGATGTATCATGCATGAGTGCAGGCGCTGCAAGCACTCGTAGTCCATGCCATGCACCAGGTACTGCTGCTGTGCCATGCTCACTGCCATGTCTGGTGGACAACAGGGAAGGCAGAAGGGAAGCGAGGAAGGGGAGATGTATGTGTGATGTGAAGCTCCTGAGAGGGAGCACCCATGGCCCTCATAATCCATGCCATACACCAGGTACTGCTGCTGTGCCACGGCTGATGTACGACAGGGGAGAAGGGGGAGAGGTGAAGGGGAGAGGAGGGAGGAGGGGAGAGGGAGGGTGGGATGGGATGTATGCATGCATTCAGGCCCTGTGAGCACCCATGTCCCTCATAGTCCTTGGTGCTGCACGGTATTCTCCTTCTTGGGAATTCTCAAAAATACCCGGCCCTGTGAGCACGCATGTCCCTCATAGTCCATGGTGTATACCAGATACTGCTGCTGTACCATGCTCACTGCCACGGCTGGTGGACGATATAAGGGGTGGGGGGAAGAGGGTAAGGGGAGGGGGGAAGTGGGGAAGTGGAGGGGGGGGATTTATGCAAGCAGCCCCCGGAAGGGAGGGAGCACCCATGACCCTCATAATCCTTGGTGTACACCAGATACTGCTGCTGTGCCATGCTCACTGCCACGTCTGGTAGACAGTGGGGAGGGGGAAATTGAAGGGGGAAAGGGGCAGGGATAACAGGGGAGACGGTTATGTGAGCACCCATGACCCTCATAATCCTTGGTGTACACCAGATACTGCTGCTGTGCCATGCTCACTGCCACGTCTGGTAGACAGTGGGGAGGGGGAAATTGAAGGGGGAAAGGGGCAGGGATAACAGGGGAGACGGTTATGTGAGCACCCATGACCCTCATAATCCTTGGTGTACACCAGATACTGCTGCTGTGCCATGCTCACTGCCACGTCTGGTAGACAGTGGGGAGGGGGAAATTGAAGGGGGAAAGGGGCAGGGATAACAGGGGAGACGGTTATGTGAGCACCCATGACCCTCATAATCCTTGGTGTACACAAGATACTGCTGCTGTGCCATGCTCACTGCCACGTCTGGTAGACAGTGGGGAGGGGGAAATTGGAGGGGGAAAGGGGCAGGGATAACAGGGGAGACGGTTATGTGAGCACCCATGACCCTCATAATCCTTGGTGTACACCAGATACTGCTGCTGTGCCATGCTCACTGCCACGTCTGGTAGACAGTGGGGAGGGGGAAATTGAAGGGGGAAAGGGGCAGGGATAACAGGGGAGACGGTTATGTGAGCACCCATGACCCTCATAATCCTTGGTGTACACCAGATACTGCTGCTGTGCCATGCTCACTGCCACGTCTGGTAGACAGTGGGGAGGGGGAAATTGAAGGGGGAAAGGGGCAGGGATAACAGGGGAGACGGTTATGTGAGCACCCATGACCCTCATAATCCTTGGTGTACACCAGATACTGCTGCTGTGCCATGCTCACTGCCACGTCTGGTAGACAGTGGGGAGGGGGAAATTGAAGGGGGAAAGGGGCAGGGATAACAGGGGAGACGGTTATGTGAGCACCCATGACCCTCATAATCCTTGGTGTACACAAGATACTGCTGCTGTGCCATGCTCACTGCCACGTCTGGTAGACAGTGGGGAGGGGGAAATTGGAGGGGGAAAGGGGCAGGGATAACAGGGGAGACGGTTATGTGAGCACCCATGACCCTCATAATCCTTGGTGTACACCAGATACTGCTGCTGTGCCATGCTCACTGCCACGTCTGGTAGACAGTGGGGAGGGGGAAATTGGAGGGGGAAAGGGGCAGGGATAACAGGGGAGACGGTTATGTGAGCACCCATGACCCTCATAATCCTTGGTGTACACCAGATACTGCTGCTGTGCCATGCTCACTGCCACGTCTGGTAGACAGTGGGGAGGGGGAAATTGGAGGGGGAAAGGGGCAGGGATAACAGGGGAGACGGTTATGTGAGCACCCATGACCCTCATAATCCTTGGTGTACACCAGATACTGCTGCTGTGCCATGCTCACTGCCACGTCTGGTAGACAGTGGGGAGGGGGAAATTGAAGGGGGAAAGGGGCAGGGATAACAGGGGAGACGGTTATGTGAGCACCCATGACCCTCATAATCCTTGGTGTACACCAGATACTGCTGCTGTGCCATGCTCACTGCCACGTCTGGTAGACAGTGGGGAGGGGGAAATTGAAGGGGGAAAGGGGCAGGGATAACAGGGGAGACGGTTATGTGAGCACCCATGACCCTCATAATCCTTGGTGTACACAAGATACTGCTGCTGTGCCATGCTCACTGCCACGTCTGGTAGACAGTGGGGAGGGGGAAATTGGAGGGGGAAAGGGGCAGGGATAACAGGGGAGACGGTTATGTGAGCACCCATGACCCTCATAATCCTTGGTGTACACCAGATACTGCTGCTGTGCCATGCTCACTGCCACGTCTGGTAGACAGTGGGGAGGGGGAAATTGGAGGGGGAAAGGGGCAGGGATAACAGGGGAGACGGTTATGTGAGCACCCATGACCCTCATAATCCTTGGTGTACACCAGATACTGCTGCTGTGCCATGCTCACTGCCACGTCTGGTAGACAGTGGGGAGGGGGAAATTGGAGGGGGAAAGGGGCAGGGATAACAGGGGAGACGGTTATGTGAGCACCCATGACCCTCATAATCCTTGGTGTACACCAGATACTGCTGCTGTGCCATGCTCACTGCCACGTCTGGTAGACAGTGGGGAGGGGGAAATTGGAGGGGGAAAGGGGCAGGGATAACAGGGGAGACGGTTATGTGAGCACCCATGACCCTCATAATCCTTGGTGTACACCAGATACTGCTGCTGTGCCATGCTCACTGCCACGTCTGGTAGACAGTGGGGAGGGGGAAATTGGAGGGGGAAAGGGGCAGGGATAACAGGGGAGACGGTTATGTGAGCACCCATGACCCTCATAATCCTTGGTGTACACCAGATACTGCTGCTGTGCCATGCTCACTGCCACGTCTGGTAGACAGTGGGGAGGGGGAAATTGGAGGGGGAAAGGGGCAGGGATAACAGGGGAGACGGTTATGTGAGCACCCATGACCCTCATAATCCTTGGTGTACACCAGATACTGCTGCTGTGCCATGCTCACTGCCACGTCTGGTAGACAGTGGGGAGGGGGAAATTGAAGGGGGAAAGGGGCAGGGATAACAGGGGAGACGGTTATGTGAGCACCCATGACCCTCATAATCCTTGGTGTACACCAGATACTGCTGCTGTGCCATGCTCACTGCCACGTCTGGTAGACAGCGGGGAGGGGGAAATTGAAGGGGGAAAGGGGCAGGGATAACAGGGGAGACGGTTATGTGAGCACCCATGACCCTCATAATCCTTGGTGTACACCAGATATTGCTGCTGTGCCATGCTCACTGCCACGTCTGGTAGACAGCGGGGAGGGGGAAATTGGAGGGGGAAAGGGGCAGGGATAACAGGGGAGACGGTTATGTGAGCACCCATGTCCCTCATGGTCCTTGCTGTACACCAGATACTGCTGCTGTGTTATGCTCACTGCCACGGCTGATGTATAGTCACATCACGAGGGAGGGGGGAAGGGTCAGGGCAGGGAGAAAGGGGAATGCACATGAACGTAAGCTGTGAGCCATGCGTGCATGCATGCATCACCTCCACGTACCATCAGAGTGCATTTTGAGGCGCCTCAACAAATCAACTTGAGCCATGCATGCATGCATGCATCACCTCCATGTACATAGCCATGCATCAAAGTGGTATATGCATGTATCACCACACCATAGCCATGGCAGTACACCACGATTCCCCTCATATAATGCACGCATGCATGAACCGTGACCATCCCACCCACCTATGCTTGTGTGGGTGCATGCGTCATCTCCACATACCATCAAAGTGGTACGTGCATGTACATGCAAGTACGTTGTGATTCATGTATGCATGTATGTTGTGATTCATGTATGCATGTACGTGCATGTACGTGCATGTGAATCGCGTACCATCAAAGTGGTATGTGCATGTGTCGCCATAGCCATGGCAGTACACCACGATTCCTTTCACCACCCCATCCAACGGCTGCCATCGCTTTGTGAAGATCTCGACGCCTCTGCTGTTGCGATAGTACACCTGTGCTGGTCAGGCGAGGGGAGGAGGAGTGGAGTGGTGGGTTCAGGGGTGAATGTGTGTGGAGGGTACGGAGGGTATGGAGGGTAGAGATGAATGTGTGTGTGTGAAGATCTCGACACCTCTGCTGTTGCGATAGTACACCTGTGCTGGTCGGGCGAGGGGAGGAGGAGGGGGGGTACGGGGGGAGAAGGGGGGAGAGAGGGGGGGGAGGGTATGGAGGTCAGACATGAATGCATGTGTGACGTGCTCTGCTGTTGCGATAGTACACCTGTCCTGGTTGGGCGAGGGGAGGAGGAGGGGGGGGGGCGGGGGGAGAAGGGGGGAGAGAGGCTACGTTGGCAGATACGCTTTGGGAAGGCTGGCGTACCACGTATATACGCTAGCGTATACACGTGGTACGCTAATACGCTCTGAATTTGCGAAATACGCCCGGGCAGCCCGCGGAAAAAAAAATCCGAAATAGAAAAATTTCGCGACGACTTTGCGGCTTCGCAAATTGTTACCGCGAACTCGCTCAAGCACCCTACCCGCGTCTGAACTTCGGATGTCAAAATCCAAACTTTCCCACCCACTCAACCACACACCACCCCACCCAACCTCTCAAACCCAACCACCCCTTTCAAATGTTCATCACTTCGTGAGCATTTTTAGGTCGACGACTTCCATAATGCTCTTCAATTTACTTCCCGCAGGTCTCGTCTAGCATTCTTCCCCTTTAGTTAGCCGTTCCGTAGTCGCGCGCCATGGCGTCGAGCGCAGCTCCTACTAGTTCGACGAGCAATGCAGCCTCTGTTCACGGCTCTACTGCCCGGGAAAAATGTTTCACCTGCCCGCCCAGCGTATTTTAAAGTATCAGCAGTACGCCAGCCATTGCGTACCGCGTATATACCCAGCGTATAATACGCTAGCGTATTATACGTGATACGCGTATTTGCCAACGTAGGAGAGAGGGGGGGGAGGGTATGGAGGTCAGACATGAATGCATGTGTGACGTGCTCTGCTGTTGCGATAGTACACCTGTGCTGGTCAGGCGAGGGGGTGGAGGGTACATGAATGTGTGTGTGACATACATGACAGTGCGTGATAAGGGTGGGGGTGAGTGAGGGCACATGACAGTGCGTGATAAGAGGGTGACAAAGGTATCTGAAGCAAATGATACAGATGTGATGTTTGAGCAATGGCATGCCACCACTCACCTCCACGCTCTTGACACCCTTCGAATCCTGCATGGCACAGCACACAGAGGCGAGATGGGGGACCGGAAGTGAGGGGGAGTTGAGGAAGAGAATGCGACATGTGAGGCATGCCCGTTCTGTTGACAGTGCAGCATGATTTTGTTGGTCACAGCGCCTCAGTACCTACCCACATAGAGTAGAGACCAGTTCAACACTGCAGCCTTGTTTTTGTGACAAGTCAAGAGCCAATTACACACTGCAGACTCGTTCTTGCTACAACTTAAGGACCAGTTGAACGCTGCGGGCTTCACAGCTTATGTTTCATGTCGTCGTCTCTTAACAAATGGGGTTTGACAGACGAACTGGGTTTAACAAACGGACTGGTTTCAAACAGATAAACTCGGTTCAACAGATGAACTGGGTTTAAAGAGACGAACTGGGTTCAACAGACGAACTAGGTCTAACACAAACCAGGTTTTATTTTAACAACCATATTGGGTTGCAAATGCCACCACGCACACAGTACGAATGGGGCTTTAAGAGCAGCACGAGGCCTTCAAGTCAGCAAGAGGATCTAAGAGCAGCACAATGGCCCTGCCTGCCTGCCATTCCACGTGTGACGAGGCAATTTCTGAGTCGACTCAGAAATCGGTTCCACAGGATTTAAGAACAGCACAATGGCCCTGCGAACGGCTCCGCAGCCACAAACATGAACGCAGCAAGAAGCACAGCTTTTAGAGGGGCGAGCAATGTAAGCACACGTCAACACCCATCCATGCACACGTCAACACCCATGCATGCAGACGTCAGCACCCATGCATGCACACCTCAACACTCATGCATGCAGACGTCAGCACCCATGCATGCACACGTCAGCACCCATGCATGCAGACGTCACCACCCATCCACGCACACGTCACCACCACTCCATGCACAAATCACCACCCACATAATATGACTTTGGCTTTAAGAAGGGCACGATTCCCTTGCGCCGCCCCTCCTCCCACTCCCTTGGAGAGCTGGTCTGAGCCCAATAGGCCCATGCGCCTCCCACTGCCACCACTGCCACGGGCACTAGCGGCCACATCTGGTAGGGAACGAAAGAGAGATATGGGCAGAATAGTGGTAGAAAAGCATGTGCTTCCCACGCGTCTCCCCTCCCACTCCCTGGGCGAGTCGGTCTGAGCCCAGTATGCCCACGCGCCCCCCACTGTCACCACCGCCACCGGCACTAGCGGCCACATCTGGTAGGGGATGGATGGATCATGGAAGGGAGAATGGGCATAAGGGTGGTAGGAAAGGATGCGTTTTCCATGCATCTCCCCTCCCACTCCCGGGGCGAGTTGGTCTGAGCCCTGTACGCCCATGTGCCCCCCACTGCCACCACCGCCACCGGCACTAGCGGCCACATCTGGTGGTAAAGGGAGGATGAGTGGAAGGGAGGACAAGAGTTGGGAATGATGTGTTTTCCACGCGTATATCCCCGCCCACTCCCTGGGCGAGTTGGTGCAGAACACTCATCCTCATGCACGTCTCCTTGCGTTTTGAAAAGTCTCAAAACTTTTCCACACGTCGCCCCCTCCACTCCCTGGGCGAGTTGGTGGTGCAGAACAGAACACGCATCCTCATGCACGTCTTCTTGCGGCCTGCATTGCATATCCATTAAGGAGTTACAGGGCAGCTTGGTAGCGTGCACTGCCATCCTGGGGTGGTGGGGTGGTGGTGGGATATGAATTGAGGCGACTTTTGAGTCTACTCAAAAGTCTCCTCCGCATATCCTTCAAGGAGCATAGCGCAGCTTGGTTGGTCGTGTGCATGCCACCTCGGGGTAGAGGAGTTCGTGAGTTATGCATTGCACAACTCTGCATCGCATAGTGCCACATAGAACCGCATTACATCGTGCTGCTTTACATCTCTCGCCTGTGCTCTTCGCAAGCCATTGGCGTGCACCCACACGGCCCCTCCCTCCTCCGCCTTACGCATTCCGTTCGATTCGTAATCGCAGCTCCAACACGCCTCACATGCTTGAGGCCCCCAAAAAAACCTTCGCGTGCCTCTCCTCCGCCGTACTCATTTCGTTCGTTGACGTCGAAGCACAGACTTCGCCACACGTCGCACGTTAACTTTATCCACGAGGTGATTTTTTATTCGACTAAAAAGTCATCCCCGTCCTCTCCCTCCGCCGTACTCATTCCGTTGACGTCTTAGCGCCGACTTGATCATGCTTCGCACGTTACCTTATCCACGGCTAAGCTACCTGCATTCCGTCCGGTTTGGATCGGTTCAAACGGCAAAACGCTCGTTCGACTCGAGTCAAACATGTATCGTAACATGTCAAATTTATCCCTTGTACCTTACCACTGTTTGTATCGCATTCCCTCCCTCTCGGTCCCATCTGGAGCTTAGTAGGGCTCGAACCTTCAGACTACACGCTTCAGAACCTGCTTATAGTTGGACCCGAGAATACGATATCACTTGCGTCAGGACCTCCGAATCGCGTTTTCAATCCTCTCAAGCAATAAGACGTCTGGAAACTCGTGTGACAGTTTTGAGGCGTCTCGAAACTCTCATTGCATTCCCTTCCTCTCAATCCCACCTGGTGCGATCACTTTGCTTCAAAAGCGCCGATTCGCGCCCACACGAGACTCCGCGCAGCACCTCTCACAAGCCGATGACTATAACGAAAGCCACTAGCTGATTGAACGTGGAGGATTACTTCTTTTCCCCGACGTGTCGAGAGAATCTCGCGAGTTGTAACGCCGTTACGGAGCGCTGTGCGTAGAACTGGAGAATCCCAAGACTCTGATCGCGGAACAATGCCCAGCCCGTTTACAAGCTGCCAGGAGAAAACGAAACTGTCAGAGATTGACCGACGTGGGGTCTTATGGTTGGAATGCAGACAGAATCCGTCAGTCATTCTCTGGACTCTGCTCCTGTCACGAGCGACAAAACTCTCTTGCAACCTTGGAGTTGATTACTGCCAAGTTGATTACCGCCAAGACAGTTTTTGTCACTTGTGGCTGACGCGCCGTGGTAGACTGTGATGGATCTCAAGAGTGTTTCCTGTTACAGGCGCGGTGGCGAGTTTCGCTAGCAGCGCACATGGAGCGACGAAACTAGGAAAAAAGAAAATCCGAAGGCGGCGAAGGGTAACAACAGACTAGACGAACTATTTTGGCAAAGTAAAGGAGGTGACGAGGAAGTTAGCGAACAACAGAAATGTCGCTGTCGAAACGCGCCAGCAATGGGTGGACAAACTGCTGGATATACGCGATATCGAGAGCAGCTCCCTGAATTCCCGCGTCTGACAGGTTTTCGGCTGCAAACGGAGCTTAAACATGTCAATATCGTAGCATACTGAGATTGTTGTACCAGATAGGGTGATAGAATTTCGAAATATTTCAACTCTTTTAGAACTGCTTTGGTTTTGCTCCAGTGCCTCTCTAGTTGTTCATGTTTTTCTTGCAGCCCGTAACGCACTTGCCAGAAATTACGGTGAGGTGGTTGGTGTTAGACGCAAGTTAAACCATGAACATCAGCCTAGTTGCAGATCTGATATCCAAACCCCTCATGCTTCTGCTTGTTGGGAATAATAAGTCTTAAGCGGACTGGACAAGGCCACGTCACCATCAGCGACACTCCAGAAGCGAAGGGGAGTGTTGGGAACAATAAGTCTTAAAACGCCTCTGTCGTGTCGAAACTCAGGACACTAGCGAAGCAGTCCGAATCGAAGCATCGCGAGTCAACCCTCGGAGGTTAGGGTAACCGCCTGGAGGTTACGAGAAGGTCAAAGGTCAGCGACCTTTGACTTGACAAATACAGCGCGACAGCAAGGACACACAATTGACTCGACATTGAGCAGTTGCCCGAGTCGCACTGTATCGAATCGCAACAGTAAAACGGTTTTAACTTATCTATTCGTATTCCTTGTACTCTTATATAAACCTTTGTATTTGCTTGTTTAATAAAACTTACTTTGCCCTCACATACTAGCGCAAGGTGGTTCAAGTACTTTCATTCAAACGCTTCCGCTATTACAATTCTACTCAGACTTAAACTCTACAAAGATCCTAGGGCACTTCAGCCCAACATGGTATGAGAGCAGTTAGAGTTTTAAAGTTGTTTTCCTTTTAACACTCAATACAAGAAGACATGTCTGCAAGGAAGGAGAGGAGCTCCTCCAACGGCTCTCCAGGCACTACTCCTACTCCACCTCCTGTCTCTGGTCTACAGACAGAGGAAGGGACTACCACGAGACCAGCAGCTGGGTCTACGGAAACGCCCGCAGGCTTCGATCCAAGCATGATGGAGAAGTTCTTCTCCTTCATGTCCTTCTACGAGCAGCACCAGCAAGGAGCACCTGCGCAATCAAACAACAGCAACAACAACAACAACGTGACGCCTATGAGTCTCGATGGCTCATCCTACGCACGCGGGATTCAACAACAACAACAACAGCCTACCTTTGCGCCATACGAGCCCCAGCGTGGCTCCGTCAGCTTCATGCCGCAACCGCAACCTGCACCAGGACAAGAAAGGGCATTGGATGCGTTACAAGTTTAATCGCAATTCGCGCATGTCTTAAAACTACAAACGACAAAGCCTTTCGACGGCAAAGATTTCTTCACCTGGTCGTTCGAGTTCGAACTAATGATGGAAGGAGCACAGATTCTCGGCTTCTTCGACGGGTCCCTGCCATATCCAACAAACGGGACGCAATATGAGAAGCAGCAATATACTTATCAATCGATGATGGCGTACACGATACTGCTGAGGAACATCACCCCGACCCAGCAGCAGAACATCAGGACATACCGAGGCTACGGCAACTCCGCGGAGCTCGCGTACAACCACATGAAGAACCTGTATCAAGCAACAGACAGCGTAAATCAAAGCAGGTTAATGGCGCAGCTGACAACCATTGAAATGAAACCAGGCGAGAAAGGCATGGCTTATATCAGCCGCTGTCGCGAACTGCGCGACAAGCTTCTTCGATGCGGCGGGTCGATTTCAGAAGACGCCTTTGTCACGGTGGTCATCGCCGGTCTCGGCCCCCACTGGCGCTCCACTCGCGCCATATTACGAGCACACGGGAGGATTTCCGAAGCGGCACTCTGCGCCGAAATTCATGCTGAGCAGCAAGACATGGACCTGCAAGAAGAAAGACACAAGAAGAAAGCATTAGCACCAGAGTTTGCGTTTCACACTCAGCGACGATACAACGGCAACAACAACCGTCAACAACAAGTAAAGACAGTACCTCCGTTCTGCCACATCTGCAAGACTTCGGGCCATCCTCGCACGCACTGCCCGTCTCGTCAGACAACACCACAGCGACAACTCCGGCCTTCAAGCTCCCAAGTTGCTTCAACGCAAGCAAGTCCGACGACCACAATCCAAGCCTCAACGACTTCAACTGGACAACCTCCACAAGGAACAAGAAGCATCGTCAATTGCATGGTGAAGATAACCGATTCGTGCACAACCAAGTCACCACCCCACTACTCACCGGAAGAAGAGCTCGACAACAGGACGCCTCGCCGCGAATCACTCCAGCCGAATCCGACGTACGCTGCCATCGCTCAAAGCGAACCATCCGGCCAAGACACTTGGTTCTTGGATAGTTGCTGCGGACAACACATGTGCTCCTCCGGGCGCTTCGTTCAACGCGAACATCGACTCCAGCGAGAAGTAGTCATCACGGTCGCCAACAATCAGAACCTGCGCACACGACGACAAGGAGCGGTACAGCTTCAGTCACGAGAGACAAATGTCATATTACACATGTCAAAGGTACTTATCGCGGAGGGACTAGGCTACAACTTATTGAGTGTCAGCCAGTTGATGGCGAAAGGCATCCACTTGGAAGCCGACAGCACCACCCAGGAGTTTAAGTTATACCACGGGAAGGGCGGCCTCTACATCGGAAAAGCAGTGTTGAAGAATAACGTCTTCGTCCTCGATTTCGTCCCCGACCTAGGCACTGCAGACAGCGACGCCATCGTCAACTTCACCGACTGGACTCATCCTCCGGATCTCGATCCCGACTTCAGCCCAGGAGGTTTCTGGTACTCGCACACCATCCCTGAAGCAGAACGAACACGAGCATTAGCAACGATTCAACAAACGGCAGCAGCAGAGACAACATCGACAGCAACAGAGACAACATCGACAGCAGCAGAAACAACATTGGCAGCAGCAGAGACAACATCGACAGCAGCAGAACCATCATCGGCAGCAGCAGGACCAACGACACCAGTCATCGAAACACCACCAACACCCGCACAACAGCTGAACCCGACTCAACGAGAAGTCCACCGAAGCGCAAACATCGTCGCCAGCTTCTACTCCAACTCTGACGCGTATC